CTTCTCAATGCTGCGTAGACGTTCCAACGTTTCATCCACGACGTTTTGCGCAGGCTGAATTACGCTTATGCCAACGTGGATGATATAGTCGTGGCCAGCCCAGATGGAGAGACTCACCGTGTCCATTTAGAGGTGGTTTCGGGGAGACCTACAACATACTCTCTGACACCCAACATAGATGAAGGTAAGACTGGTGCATCTTCACTCACTTTCCCATGCAGTTATACAGTAATAATAAATGGATGACGCTCTGAACGCAATTTATCGCCCATAATCATGTCAATTTAATCACACGGATTCATAATTGGCTCTATATCTTTCTTCTCTCCCCTTAATTGCTTACTGCAATTTTTCATATAGCTAGAATAAGCGTTGCGTGTTCAGTGTTGATTTGATGAACAAAGATTCCGAGACTAACCTCTCTCTCCGCCTAACTATCTATCACTTTTTAATACCTCCACCCTGCCGCCGCACACCCGATATCTATGGTCGGCCTGCAAAATTTGGACTACCGATATCCATGCTGAAAATCTATACTTGTAATGAAAATACGGTGTGGCATCAAGCTGTAATAAAAATTTAAAAAACTTACTCAGTGATTGAAAATAAGTGAATGCATTGCAACAGCTGGGAGTTTCGCCAGGTTACTAACTTAGCAGGGTCAGTCATTCCAGGTCTAGCTAAACTTTTTGTGTTCTAATAATCTAACTCACCCTGACCTACTAGTTTGTCTCATGCAATTGATCTCACTGTCATTGCATGATATTTGGCACCCATTATTTACCATTGTTTTTACGAGCTAGTGCAATACAATCTGATTTATCTGTGCTTGCTTCCTGGCTGTCAGGTAAAGGCTTCTGATCTACCGTAAACTTCTGCGTAGTTCGTCACGCCACGGGGAAGCCCTTATGTCCTTAATGGCAGATTACCTTTGTTTGGGTAATTTCTGTCATTTTTAATCCTATAGGCAGGAATCAAGTCCCCTTAAACCAACGGTAGCTAAGTGTGAAGAGACCCGATTTCTGTAGCTGTTCATCATACGGTTTGTTTTGAAGACCCATCACTCTTTTCGTCCGTCTCTGGAATCTTTCCAAAAGGTTTGCGTCTCTTCTAAGCAGTGAGGGTGCAGTGATATTGTACACTTCAAGGTGTGATCTGACGTATGTTTTGTACAACTTTAGAAAGAGCTCAGCACCTAACTGTCCATGTGTGAAGTATATGGCCGTATATGCCCTCACCAAATTCCTGTGTGTCCTTGTGTCCACTTTTCTGTTAGGACCAAACTCAAGTCGCGCTCAAGAGTAGCCTACAGGTGCGTAATTTCACTAGTTTTCACTTTTCAGTTTGAAAGTCATACCATTGGGCACCGCCAGGTCTTCCAGAAGCTTTAGGTCTACCTGCGGCCTATCTGAGTCTTCTGAACACTTTATGGCCCTCCAAATCTTTGCGTCTTCAGCGTAAAGAATAGAAGCTTGGACGGAATAGTAGGTCATTGATAAAACTCAAAAACATCATCGGCCCTAGGATAGAATCCCATAACACTCCTGATGATGATCTGTGCCAGGATGAATTGACTCAATTGACCTTAGCTCAGAATATCACTTCGTCGATGTAGTCCGTCAACCATGACAAAAGCCGCTCACCTATTCCTGCCTAACTTATTTTTTGTAGGCGAAGGTCATGGTAAACTCTGTCAAATGCCTTCTCAAAGTCTAGGGAGGTCACGTTGATTGGAATATTCATATCCCAGCATAATGTCCAATCGCCCCAAGTTGATAGTAGATTTTTTACACAGGATCTGCCTTTCCTGAAACCATGTTGTGCATCATTGAGTCTTTTAGTCCTGATTTGACCATGAATCAGACTTTTCGGTACTTTCGATAGCATTGGGAGTGGCGCTACTGGTCTATAAATGGTGGCATTTCGCCTGTCCCCACCAAAGAAAATCGGAGAAAGGATGGTTCTTTTCCACTCCTTTGACAGTCTCCCTGAATCCAAAAAGTGTTGGAACACGTCGCATAAGTATCCAAAGTGAGCTTCGGCCTACTGTTTTAGAAAAAATAGCCGAATGTCGTCACAGCCTGGGGACTTTCCAGATGTGTCTCTGTAGCTTCCTTAGTACTATTGCCTGGTTTGTTTGGAGAGTAGCTACTAGGTTTTCTCCCCCAGTGAAATAGAAGTAACGCCATTTGGGTTCAAACCAGTTACGTCCCCATTGTTGTTTAACTGTTTGCGAGGACTAAACTGAATGTTTCAGCTACTTTCAGACTAGTGAGGCGTATGCCCCCTGGTTGGTTGGTTTTCTTTCCGGCATGAATCAGTACACGCTCTTGGCGTTCACCATCATTTTTTGGCCACATTGACTCTGAATGGACTTCTCCCACTCCTGACTCTAGTGTTGCACTGGTTCCTGAGTTCCAGGTATGCATTCTGGTCGGTCTGACTCCCGGATACTCGCCCCGTAGACCAAGCCTTCTGCTTTGCTTGTAGAATATTTTGCGTACCTCTCCTCAGCCCTGAGGAACTTTTTCGGCTATGTTGTGACTAAAGGGAAGGTATCAGAGATTGCTGTATGCATAATCCCTTTTACCCCTTCTCAGCGTTCTCCATACTAAGGGACATTCTGCGTCGGATAAAAGCCTTTGCATTTCATTTTATTCCGCCTTGTTATAGCACAGATATGGTCATGTAATGTCTCACTGTAAGCGCTCACGGAGAACAAGGTCGAATGATATTACTGCACGGTCACTAATTCCTAGAGGAGTCATGATCTGGACATTTTTGACGAATGGCCTGTCTCTAGTTACAATATGATGTGATTTCTATGACTTTCCAATAAGGCCCCACCTAGTTTCGTTTAAAGCATTCTCAGTCAGTCCTGTAATTCTAATGATCAAAAGTAAATGTCCACCGAATTTTCCCTGAGCATACCCTGAACAAAGGTTCAGTGATGGGGCACCGAAATCTCCATCTATGGCGATTTGGTCATAGCCCAAGTCTCATACCCCTGTGATGGTGCTGTAGATGGTTGCGCTCTGCCCCACAGGTGGCTGATCTGTAGATGCCACCCACTAAGTGCTGGAAGTGGCCTATGGTGAAATGACACCATACAGAGTCTGAGAGTTCAGTAAGTGGCGGGTCTGTTGCACTTACTCATTTAAGTTGCTTGTCAACTCCCCTCTTCCTTGTTATCCCTGTCCCTCCTGACCAGAACCATATCTCTTTTGCTGATTTCGTTGTCAGCGATAGTGGGGGTTAACCAGGTTTCAATCAGGATTATTATTTTGAGGTGTAGGTGTGAATGGAGGTTTCTGAGTCCACCTACTTTCCCTCCCAGCTCCCTCACATTGAAACACAGGCAGGTGACGGTGAGTGTTCCCACCTTAGCATATTGTAGGATAGTTTAGGTTACGTTGTTGGCTGGTAGAGGACTTAATTTTGGGACTAGTCGGCTGATTCCGGCGGAACCGGCCTGTTACGTCTTTTCCCCTTGGATTCAAGTAGGATGTTGGGTGACACTAGCGGTGCCGCATAGCTGTAGTGTCACTGAGGAATGGGGATATATTGTGACTTCAGTCTGCTGCCTCCTTAAGGTTTGAGGTCTGCTCTTGCAGCTTCGGTTGTGTCCTTCTATTTTCCCTCGGTCGCATACCACTATTGAAGTACTATGGCCAACTGTTCCTGGGAGTTAAATTATACACTTAGAAACCTTGGAGAGTTGATCAATGCGAGATGAGGCGGATGAGGTGGTTTACAAATAGAAATTACCCCAGAAGCGCCAAGGGCCATCTAACATGATAGTAATCCCCACTCCTGTATGTCATGCATGTGTTTTTCACAAGCAGTGACAGTTTCCAACTCTAGAACAACATGTGTTGCCATGGTGGAGAAACTTAGTTCCGGTGACTCCCTCACCATTTTCCTGTTGGCTCATGGCCTATCATGCCTTATTCTTGTGTTGGAACTCCTGTCGATAGCTAATGTTCAGGCCAGTATCAGTGTCTTTTCAGCTCCTTTGGTAACGCCCGGTGTCACCCTTAATGGCTTACGTTGAGGTGCCCGAACACCCCTGTACAGTCTGCACAACTTCTTCGAATTGACGTCTAATCCCAATTTATTGCACAAACTAGGCAATTGTTCCTGATTAAACAGAGCCTTTTGTTCAATCAGCTACTGTTGCCCAGTAAAGCAATGAAAGCTTCGCAAATAAACCATCCATTCTGTATCACAAGTACTGTTTTTGGAATAAAGTAAATCATTATTATTATTGTCCTCCAAACCATCTGTTATAAGACAAATTATTGATTTCATACATTGTAATCGAAGCAAGTGCGCTGAGTCGACTGGAAAAAGTTAAGGAAAGAAACCAAACTCGGCATAAATTGTCTTATTATTATTACATATGACCAGGTACGTCTTATTTGTTGAGCTTATTAAGGCAGTTTAGGACATTTCTTACTGCCAATAAGGTTACTAGTTATTGATTTTGCGCAATTCCTCACCTTTGTAAAGCACACTTCTGACTATGAAGTTATTAGAAGCAAATGGATTGGTTATTTTTTCGTATTATCCCACAGTAGCACCAGAACTAATATGTACTACTGTCAACTTGATCATTAGCTTACCTAAACTGTAGTCATCGATCATGGAACACATGGGAAACATACAAAATAATCTGTCAGGACGCTATCAAAGCGTTATATTCAAAAGACTAATAGTTAAGGCTGTTTTCAAGCGAGACCGTTCGACTTGTCTGTCTAGTTACTCATATAATGCGCGCCTTATCAGGAACGGGATGACACGGGTAGGAAAGCTTTTATCCCCATCTAAAGCCAGAAACGAAGTGTGGATCAACTGATCACGAGCGTTTAGAACCATTCGGTAATATGCAGTGATACGTTCACCACAATTTTTACATTTCTTCTGAGATCCGAAAACGAAAACAGATATAAATGAGGTGAATGCTTTGTGTCCTAAAAATTGCACAAAAATTTTCCATGAAAATTGTTTGTAATAACCACAACTCAAGGACGATGAGTCTCTTCGTCCTGCCGCGTTAGATACCGATAGATGTCTTTCATTTACAGGGCTCTGGTTTCTGTTGGTGATAAGGCAGTGCCCACTCGTTTAAAGCCCGTATGGGATCATCCTGCAGGACCTAAAACCATATTCTTTTGGGCACCAACATTCAAATGGGTTAGTTGAAAAGACGCACCAGAAAACATAATCTTTATATTATAAAGCTTCTTGTCATTGCTGGTTTAGCAGATATTAACCGACCAGTTGAAAATGTTAGCCTCTATCAGAGTACAGCCCTCGCAGTTACGGGTATCATTTGGTCCAGATATTCTATGGTCATCATTCCCAAAAACTATAATCTCCTAAGTGTTAATGCTTTTGTCGCTATGACTGGTTTATACCAGCTTGGAAGAATTGCAAAGTAAGCAAAATTATTAGTTTAACATCTTTTAGGCATGAATACGCCAAAAAGGAATAGTGTCTATGTGGTAAATACAGCTTATTTAGACACAGAATTGCTACAACACGACAATATATATTAGCTCAGAAATCATAAATTTTATGCAGTAGATGTCGTATTAATATCTGTGGACTTAACTATGCTACAGATGTAAATAAAATTTCCTTCAATATTGTTGATGGCTTCTCACTTGCATGTGATTTTGGCATTTGTAAGACAAGTTATTTTTAAACCCGAGTTGAGTCGGCACCCTCAATTAATTTTTTCTAGAAGGGTTTAGACAAGCACTAGAAAAGTAACAACTCAGGTTTCGTGCCTTCTATCGTGGACCAATAAAGCTAAATTTAGTGGGAAACCGTTTACAAAAGGTGTTTTCTCATGAAATCTTTTCGTTATACAAAGCCATCACATATTGGGGATTCGTATTGAGTGACTGAATTTTGTTTATTATTTTTCGTCTCGTAAAACCCATGTAGAACATAGAGCTTCAGCAGTACATTTCCATGGCACTTTGCTGTCTTTTTAAGTTGGCTCCTTGATTATCCCGAAGCTCTCATATACTGTTCACACGATCACTTCTGTATCACTCTCAGATGCCCGACCCAAGCTTACTATAATGCTGAATTAAATCTCACCAAGTCTGAACTAATTGTAACATTCTATAGTGGGTAAATTCTGAGACTGTTCTGAAATGTATTCTTTAATGGCACAGACTAAAACTCAGTGCTGGTTTTCAGCATGACTGGCAATAACTTAGCACCCTGTTCTTTTTCTAGGCATTTTCAGGAGTAGATCAGAATCTACTGCGTTTGCTTATCAGCGTAGTTCCAGCCCTCACAGGACATATTAAGCACGGACTAGCGTTACTTCAGAACGAAAAGACTTAATTCAGCACCCAGCCCTCTTTTTAAAGCACGACCCGCGTTATTTGAGAACATGGTGGGTAGATAAAATCTTGATTTACTTTAAAAAGGTATTATCGAGGAACAGGTTAGCATAAGTTCAGAATTTTCGTAAGCTTGAGAACTTGTTGCCCCCAGTCAGACTCCACCTGATAACCTCACATATGACGTCGCTTGAATTTCTCCTCAACGTATGTCCATTCTGCCTTCGTTTTTTGTGTATTTATTTAATGGTAGGTTTTTTTCATCAAAATGCTCTGGTTTAATTGCTTTATATAAAATGACTAAATAGTTTATAGCATTATGTAAGTACCATAAATTATTACAACAATAGCTTACACATTTTAGATTACCTGTCTTTGAATTTGATTACAATGTACAGCGTTTCGAAACCTGTTTTAAGTTTACTCATAGCTACTTTTTGTGTCGCGCTTTTTATTTTAAAACACGTACAACTATTCTTTAGGTGTGTATTTTTCTAACGTTGGTTGTTCTTATCGTTATTCAAACGTCTTAAGTTTTACCAACCGAAATGGACTTAATTCCTAAATATTGTAAAAGTGTTGAGCCATTTTTTGGTGTACTTTTATGACAAAGCATCTTTTTTGTGTCTTTATGCAGTTTCATGAATAATTCAAGTTAAGAGAGATGATTTCAAAAATAACCACACTATGGTGTCATTGCAGTGACAATCATCGATTTGTGGTCACAAAACTATGTATTGTACCGAATACTTTAGACCACTTAGTCGTTTTCCCTACAAGATAAAGACTCTTAAATATCCTCCACGGTAATAGTACTTCCTCGTTTAAATTGTCTTTATGGAGGATTTTAATGATCTATGTTGATTTATACAAGTTATTTTTATCAAGCGAAAGATACTCAAAGTTGTAAGCTGGATATTTTATTCAGTCAGCCTCACTTTTTCAGGAATGAGTAGAGTGAAAGAATTCAATTTAGTAACTTCGGTTATGAATATTGTGGGTTGAAATACGAACGGTGAAAAACTAAGATGAACAGTCGAGTTATTAGCATATGGAAACCAGATTTTTTTGTTAAAATAACACTATATGATAGAAGAAATATGAATTTATGACAGCTTAAATTATAAAAACACCTCCTGGGATGTAACGATTACAGTCCCTAAACATTGATTTATGGTATGCAATGTGTAATGACAGGAAGATACCACTTCACCGTATTACTTAAAGACTTTACTGATCAATACTATGATTTTACCTGATTATACTTAGTAGTGTCTTGGCATTTGTAATACCTCACCTCAAATGTGCAAAATTAACTCACTGATACAGTTATAACTCCCTGCGGTGATTGACGACCTTATTGATATGTACGAGTTCCATATTAGTTTGTTTATTAGATATATTACACAGTGAAACAGTATTATCTACTGGATGATATTTCGAACCAAATTTATTGTTCATAGTCATATCAATTGTAATCACACGACTTCGATACTTGAATTTTATAGTTTTCTTTGTTCTGTCCTATTTGTCGTAGGGGTGATATGTATGAGGTTTTATAATCCGAGTGTTCAGTTAGGCTTCTGGAAACGTCCATGAACCACACACTGTTGTACTTATCTCTGATGGCTTGAAGATACTACATTTCTGCTTAAAGTCAAAAGAAGCGATAACCACCCACTGATTTTGTTCATCACTGATGCAGCGACAAGTTTAATCCGTAATCCAATCACAAATTATCACTAGGCCAGATAATGCCTCTTTTTACCTCTACAATCGTTGCTGATCGACCATAGGTTGATATTAACAGCAAAGAGTCATAATTGTTAGATATAAACTGAAATTAAATTTGTACAAATGGTGAACTTTAAAAGACCAGCAACTGAGCTATTCTACTCTCCCAATGTAAGAAGGGTTTAAGTCCGGCTATGACGTGAAATTCCGCATTCTTTTTAAGACCTAGTAAATGACGGTGAATTTCTCCATGAGGACAAGAAAAATTTCGATGTGTTGCAGTTGATCGGTTTGGAGTGGCCATTATTTGATCTATGTAAACTCAAATAGGACATATGCTTCTTGCCTCAAAAATGCTGCATCTGAGAGTAGAGACGAAATGGCCATTGAAGCTGTAAAGGTAAATGTGCCATCTCTCTACCTCAGTCAAAGGGGGTGATCAAGCGAATAACTATTCGTAAATCTTTTATTCGTATAAGAAATGTACTTTCACATCTGAATATGAAAAAAAGGTTTCAGTTAGAGAGACATTTGTAGGATTTGATTTAGAAAGTGGTTGCTGAATATTCCTTCATGTGGGTTTATTGCATTTTTCGATCAAGTTGAGTTCTCTTTGACAACCACAAAAGCGTATTATTTCAAATTGTTATACACAACCTTAGAAAAACAGAAAAGTGGTTATACTATAGTGGCTAAATATGACTGTGTGAGACAGAATAACTGACTGAAGAATATTACACAGAATCGCGGAAACGATGACAAGTGAATACATTCCTGCTATTTTTGACGACTTCAAACCATGCCATAAAGAGTTTAGAAACACTGATTCTTAAAACCCTTAAGGAGACAGATTACACTTGCCTAGGTATCTCAAACCACTTTTTTTTTTGAAATGATCCTTTTACAGTTAAGCATCACGTTTGTTAAAAACAGGACATGAAATAAGTAGCAGGTATTCCAGTCATTCCAGTTGAACTTCCCTTGCTTGTCCAACAGTGTACACCTAACTTCACCATTGCTAGAAATACACAACCTCATCACTTCACTTGCTTAACTATCACCTCCATTATGGATAAGATTTTATTTTCAAAAATCACACTGTGTTACACAGTAATATTAACTGATGACGTTTCGAGCACAAATTATTGCTCATAATCATATCAACACTGTATATGATTTTTGAAAATAAAATCTTATCCATAATGGAGTTACACTCTACCACAGTGCCCAAGTTTTATACTTATATTAACTATCACCTAGTATAGACGCTAGTTACCACGTTGATTTGGCTAATAGTATCAATTCGATTTAACTATGAAAAAAACTTTTGCTTTTGTTACATATACCTCGAATATGTCTCACACCAATACGACAAGATACAGTCTGAGTTTTAGGCATAGAACCTTACACAGAAGTGCAGCAGTGCCACATTCCTTAATGATAGGAAAGATTCAAAAGAACTATAGTGAGCAGGAATGTCCGGAAGAAATAATAATTAAATAGAGAAACATGAGATGTTAGTCGATCTGGGAGATTACAAGAAGTGAATGCCACATTACCTAGGCTCAAGCCATTGATCCTAAACGCTTTGATGGCCCCAGCCAGAATACAGTGGCTTTCTATATAATAGTATCCCGTTAAATATAATTAACCAGTGTAGGTGACACCACTCCATGTCACTCTCGGACGACCCATTTATCGCTTCCCATCGGGATTCCACTCGAGCGATGATTTGGCGCGGGATGTCATTCCGCGACGTCCTCAATGTACGCCAGGTCCACCTCCATCTTCTCCTACATATTTGTTGAGCAATCGGCTCTTGGTTGGTGTGCTCCCACAGTTTCTTGTTACTTATTCTTTCTGGCCAATTGATCTTCGGTATAGAGCAAGCGAAGGCAGCTGTTGACAGAAGTCTGCAGCCTGTTGGAAATCCTTTTCGTAACACGCCTTCAAGTCCCTGACCCATATAAAAGAACTGACTGACTTGACATTGCTGGTGAAAACCCGAATCTTGTTCCTTATTTTAAGTGCAAAAGATTTCCAAGCTGGTTTCAGCTTGATGAAGGTATCTTGTTTTTCCGATTCTGACTTTGACATCTCAACCTGTTCCGTCCGTGGTTGCTACGATGCTTCCTAGATAAGTGAGGAAAGTAACCTCTGTTAAATCTCTCCCGTTGATAGTGACTGGCGCTGGTTGTTGCGGTTCGTTGGTTATCTTCATCATCTCCGTCTTCTCTATGTTCACCTGCAATCCTATCTTCGCTGCTTCTTCAGCCAGTTTGTTGGTTTTTGCCTGTAAGTCTTCGACTTTATGTAACATTAGACATATATCATCTGCGAAATTCAGATCTTCTAGAGTCATCTCATCGGTGCGTACTCCTGTCTCCTCGCTTTCTACAGTCTGACGCGTAATCCAGTCCACCACAGTTAAGAATACCACCTTTTCCAACTTCTGTATGCACTTCGAACGCCTCGCTGAGTTTTCCATTGTGGATCACATGAGACGTGGCATTGTCATATAGCCAGCTGTTGAGTGAGGTTGATAAATACTTGAGATACGCCGTAGTGTTGAAGTAGTTTCCAAATTACTTTTCGGTTGAAGCTGGTCTGGTGGAGGCTTTTTCGAAGTCGAGGTAGGGGGTTTGACTGCCGTTCTATGCTTTGTTCTGCAATGACGATGCCTAGAGTTGCAATTTGATAAGCACATGATTTGCATTTTCTAAATCTAGCTTGTTTCGGACTGGTGGAGTTCTGTATCCAGTGTATCTTTCATTTTTTTTCCAGGATAATGCGACTTAGTATTTTACTTGGCGTGAACAAGAACATTATTCCACACCAGTTCTTGCCCAGGCCTAGGTAGCCCTTCTTTGGCAGCTTGACGAGGTAGCCTTCCTTCCAAGTAGTAGTAGTAGCAGTAGTAGTAGTAGTAGTATATGCACCACCCATAAACCAAACACTTTCAGCATGATAAGGTAACCCAAGTTTTCGAATCGACAGTATTTAGTTAGTATTCTTTTAGAAAGAACAATAGCATGTGAATACTCACACCCTTTTTTAAGTAAAAAGCAGCAAAAGAACCTAATGCGCTACAAAAAGGCAGAAGGAAATGGAAATAGTCCGGACATATGCTGAGGAAACCATTGCGTGACATCACGCCCAGAGTTGAACGCGGATGGAAAACTATGAGTTGGGTGTCTGAGGGTGACACATGAAGTAGATAGATAGTATAAGGAGAAAATGAAATCTAACGTCCCATTGCGCAGCCAAATACAGAGGATGAAATAGCGAAGTACTGTTGAAGCCTTATGTGCCACTCCGAACCCAAGTAAAGAATAATAATAACAATAATCCTTGAAAAAGTGCATATATTGTATGTTATAACATATAGCGATGACGATCTTTAAAATTTACTTCAAACAAAATACACTCATGATAATACGATAAAGGCAGAAAGATATAAGCATTGTCTCTGGAGAAATTATGTCAAATAAAAGTTGAAAATTTTACAAAAATTCAAAAAAGGAAACAACACCAACAAACAACACATTTACACAGACAGAAGAGATGAGAATGCGTAGTCAGAAAATCCATTACTTAGCATATTTATTACACAAAAGGGAATTGAAGTAAGTTTCTTTCTTCTCTTCCTTTTTATGTCTTCTCTTTTTTTTTAATATGTCAGTCTTTTTTTAAATGATGCAAATTCGACGTCAGTAGGAAGGATGACTAATTTATCTTCTTGTCGTCAGATGAGACTGAATTATCAGCTTCATTGGTTTTTTCAGGTTCTGGTTCATCTTCATAACTGAAATATAAGTATAGAAGACAGAGATCAAGTTAGCAGAAAGAAGACTGAGATAATTATTAATTTTTATGATTTCCCATGTATGTAATTTAGACTTAGTGTTTAGTAATAGGAGGCTCTTTGAATAGATTCCCCGACGTTAGTTGTTTGACGGTGGCTACCAGTAGGATTGAGGACGCATATTTTGAGTCTCTTCGGCACTTGTAACCTAGCTGGTTGGGTGCATTGGCTCCCTAGTGACACTCGAACCTAGCACCCATCACTTTGAAGATATTTGGAAATTTATTACTAATATTTACATTACAGTAAGTGTAAGCGAGGAAACTAAATTTCACCTGAGGTAATTCTTAAAAAGAAATAAGGAGTGTAGAATTTAGGTTATTCAACAACTACTTGCACATACATGAAGTTGCCGTGTGTGTGGGTGGTTGGAGGTACCACCTGAATGCCCAAACCTCGGTAAACAGAGAGCAGGATCCGGACACATGACCTACAGCTCCACACTGTTAATGATTACTCATCTTATCAACAGTAGAGTTTGCAGCCAATCCAAGGTGGCTGTTTCACAATAAACAATCGTCACCTGCATCTAACGATATATATATATATATATATGCGTTGGTGGTTCGGAGTTATAACGCTCGCCAACCATATACGTGGTCCGGAGTTCGATTCTTGGCCAACGCACTCTTAAACCTCGCTAAGCCAGTGGTAAGAACGGTAAAAAGGAAGGATTGGGTGTAAGGCTAGCAACCCGACCACGTAAAGATAAAACCACTGCTACCGAAACTCTAAAGCTCTAGCTTGGAGGCTTATGTTCCACTCGGAATGTATATACATATACATAAAGATTAAAAGTATTTTGTGTAGTCAATTTCGACCAAATGGATTTGTTAATCAACCTATGTTTATCGATTTATTGCATAGAGAGAGAGAGAAATTGTCATATGATTTCATGAACTTAATGTTAATGACCATAATAACAACAACAAGAAGAAGAAGAATGTAGTAAAAGGCATACGTGTACATGGTGCTTAGCTATATTTTATTAATTATATCTAGTCAAGGTCAATTGTGATTAAAATATAGATTAAGTCATTAAGCCATAATTTGATGAAATTTTATCATACTTTAAGAATGAACTGAATATGTTGTACTTATCTTATACGATCATATAATGTCTTTGTTGTATTAATTAACACAGAGTTTTTGAAATCCTTAGTATCGGAGGTGAGTGGTATAAAACAAAAAGTGCACTGTTTTTCATTGATATTGAGATATTTTATTTTTCTATATAGAAAATGAAGTATCACAGCACACACTAATATATAGTAATCCATAGAATTTATGTGTACATATTCAGGTTTCAGTTCGTTGTGTATGCGCGTGTGTTTGTGTGTGTGTGTGTGCGTGTATGACTGTGCATTTTGCGGACAAGACTGTGTGATGAAGCGTACCTTACATTGCTTGTAAATGTTTTATTTTAACATAGAGAAAATTATAGTCATCCAAACCAAAGAATGTACACCGATAAAATCAGCCTTGAAACAGCCAATCATATTGAAAAAGGTAAATTTAGGTGAAATGTTTGTTAGTTTTTCTTTATGAGAAGAAAACAGATATTCAACAAAGTATCCATAGGAAAGTCGAACATAATTTTCATTTAAACAACTCTACTTTATATCCTTTCCATTGAGGCTGCGTGTGTGTGTGCGCGCACGCGTCTTTGTGTGTTATATAACGTCCACAAGAATGTATAATCAATCCTCTTCTTATTCGATTATCAATGAAACAAAACAGGGGAAGGGTTTGTACGGATTGTATATTTCATTCCTACAAACATTAGACACCATTCTCACTGTGGCGTTATTTCACTGGGCTATAAATGCCATTTTTTTCGAAACGAGTAATAATTTTAAGTTATTTATTCCTGTTTGCCTTTATCAAGGCACTCTACTCAAACTCACGTAGCCATGTAAGGGCTTATGGGGAATTGTCATCTAAATTGATAACAACCAGTGGTGTCCGTCAAGAATGTCCACTTTCCCCATTTCTGTTTAACTTCATCATACATATGCTAATGGAAGTATCCTTAACTGAACTTAACGACTTAGGAATCGACTTGTTACCAGGGAATAGTCTTATGGACTTAGAATATGCAGATGACATAGTCATGTTAGGGGAGGATGCTGACAAAATGCAGTCTTATGAACACCTTGAGCAGCAATCCTCGTATGTTTGGCATGCGATTCGCCCCTGTAAAATGCAAGATGCTGCTACAGGACTGGACTACGTCTACCCCTAGCTTAGTGATAGGGAGTGAAGTGATAGAACATGTTGACCACTTCACCTATTTGGGAAGTTGTATCAGCACCAACGGATTGATTGGTGACGAAATCTCAGCACGGATCCAAAAAGCTCGGGCTGCTTTCGCTAACTTACACCATCTCTGGCATGAGCGTGACATCCGACTATCAACCAAGGGACGTGTGTACTGCTCGGCAGTTCGCCCCGTCCTTCTCTATGGCTCTGAAACATGGCCACTTACTCTTTTCCAACCTGCACCTATATCAGCTAGTAATGCCCGTCGGGGGAGGCGATGGTTAGGCATGCGCAGCACGTGACCTAGCCATCTCAATCTATGTAACTTTATAGCCTCCTCGATTGATTTTCCCTCTTTGCCCAACACTATACGCCTGACGTCAACATTACCTACCTTATTATGCCACCTAACGTGAGAAAGAGATCGTAAACATCTATGATCAAAAACATGGCATCAATCCATGAAATCCTTGACAGTTAAACTGAGTCAGGTAGGGAGATGCAGACTTCCGGATTGGGGCCCTCGGGACTCTAAGAATCAATGGCTGGAGACAATAGGTGACATGGCTCAACATCGTTGTCAATGGCGCAGATGTATTCAATCTCTGTAATCTTTCATATTCCGTTCTACCATTACTCATTCTGTTTCACTCTTTTACTTGTCAAAACTCTACTGATTCCCTTCACTCATTTTCTTGTCTACCTTTGTGTGCTATTTGGAACGTAGCAAATCGAACTGCTACACTTCGGTGACAAGTTCTATGTTGAATCCAGCCAGCCAGTTTGTGATCTCTACCTACCGATAGGCACCAACCAAACAAGCATCCTCGAGTTAATAATTCTGATGATAATATCTAAGCATTGGTTTAGGGTGCCCATATTATACTAAAATTAGGCTGATTAATTCGATCCACACAAATCAGCAAGAAATTATATATACATATATGACATTTAGAAGACAAAGCTAAGAAATGATATCATCTCGCGAAAATTGTCTTCTAAATGCCTTACGATCAAAAAGACCGGTTGAATAGCGTCAAGACTTTCACAGAAAAACATTTACCACGGAAGTGCTAATAGATTACGATATGTTAGAGGTTTGAAGGAGAAGCACTCGGTTAAGATTAAGCATAAAGATGCCGACCGTTTTGTTCCACTGATTTGTTTTGATAGTCGTATAACTGTCCGTGTATATGTATTCATCAATTGAACATATTCATAGTTATATAGTCTTACGGCCCTAATCTATTTTCTTTTGAGTGTTTTGAAAAGACGACTTGACATTTTACGACACGTCTTTCCGGGATCCGAATTAGTGGGTTGGGTAACCGAGGGTAATATAAACAAGACCATGTGAATAAAAGGAAATGATGGCGTGTAGGCTTACCTTAACATAGCAGGGATATCATTTTTCACCAGAGCCATAAGTAATGGTGCACCTAAACACGCTGGGACCAAGTAAAGTAATGCTGGCTAGATGAAAAAAAAGGAAATATAAATAATCCGTTGAACTTAGATGGACATTTAATCCTTTATGATAGATAAGATGAGAAAATAAAATAAAAATAGGTAACAGATGTATATACAGCACACAGGATTGAATATTACTATCGGAGCCTACACTGAATCTTTGAGCTCACAAGATTTTATCATCCAGTAAAAATAGACTATGAAAATTTGGGTCAGTAAGTATGTTTTTGCTGAATTATCGACAGGCCTTTTTCTTTGAGTTGCATATTTCCTCATTATGAAAAAATTGAAATCATACAGTTCATTTCCAGTCGGCTTAAACTTGAAACCAAAAACTCAGGCAAACACTTTTCTTCATTCCTTTACGTTTCAAAGTGAAACATACGGCTTCAAACTTTACAGTCTCAGCAGCAAGTGTTGCTTTCTTGGAAGGGTTAGTTTGCTAGCTTCACTGTCAACTTCTCCTTCTTACCGGATTTATTATCGACTAGGTGAGGGTTAGAAGTGCATCTGCCTGGAATCAAACCTGGAAATCCTTCATGGCTGCCAAGCATTCTACCATTGAAATTATCGACCCACGTATACCTTAAATGTGTATTATTTAGTTAGTGGTAGCCAATAGTGAGAACAAGTACATGTTCATCTAATTTCGGACTCATCATCAGCCAGATGTATTTGGATTCCCAGTGGTTGTCTTCCCACTGAGAGCTGAAACCAGCATCCATCGTTTTAAACGAGAAATTCGAAATTAATAATTTTACCTAATAACAGCTCAATATTTGTTTTTACGAGACGATCACAGATTGATATAAGTTAGAGAACCATTGAAAACCAGGGAGTGCTGGACAACCAGCTGTTTCATCCTAGTTTAGCTTAATATTTATTTTGTGACTTCAGCATTCAATATTGTAGTTTTTCTCAAAAACTGTTTCATCATTTGCTCTTAGAATTCAGCTGTCTGGGATAGATTTTATATGTGCTAGAATATGAGCCACATTTATTGTATGACGACTAACACTACTGTTCAGTTGCTCCCCTTCCAGGCTAGAGTAGGCTGGGAGGAGGGACCCATTGTCTGAAGTCAAGTGTTTAAGTCGAAAAACTATGTCTCCATGAGTTGGCTATACATTAAATTATAATCGAGTAATATACAGAAACCCAGTGCACTCATAGAGTGTAAGCACAAGATTCGAAAGTGTTCATAAGTGTAGTTAGTTATACGGTGTGTTTAGAATTCCAGTTACATATGACTTTTACACACGATAATACTAACAACTGAAAATACCAATACACACATTTTCTTGTACGCTTCACATAAATCCTACTGATGAGCGGTTAAGTAGTATATAATAGATGAAGGCAATATATCTGATATAAGAACTTTAATTCTTGTTGTTTAGCCTCTAATACTGTGTTCGATTTTACGGATTTAACGGTAACTTAAAGACGCTGAATTCGACCCCTGGTGGGTTTATGGATGCATACTGCTTAAGAATTTCCAACGAGGACAAAGCGCAGCTATCCGGTGCTCACCGGTTTTCAATCACCCTTCAACCGAAATAAGTTTGTAACCAATTTAGGCCAAAATAATACTATGAAGCTAGTGAGAGGGAGTTTGTATTTAATACAAACATGTTACAAAAATGTCGAGCGAATATACCAATAGTGCTTGAAACAATTATCTGTTTCGCTATATATATATATATATATATATATATATATATATATATATATATATATATATATATATATATATACGCAATGACCTAGCATATGATTTGCTTGTAATTAGCATGGTAAAAACTTATGCTAAAATCTACTATACTACTAAATATGATAAAAGTAGTGAAAATAATTTCTGACAAAAACTACTAACCAAACTCAGAGAACCAATAGTTAACAATATCAACAAATCTCCTTAATAATAAAATAAGGAAGCTCAACAACATATTAGAGTGTAATGCCATATTATATTTTTTCATTTTATGTAATATATAGTGATAGAATATTGCTTATTTATTCGCAAAACCAAGTGCATCTAGGATTCAATAGTAGAATTCTCGTCATCCATGCACATGATCTAGGAGGCGAGGTTTTCGTCAACCCTACTCCGTAAAAAGCAAAAGAACATCAACCCTACCAAAACTTCATGGCTTGAAGCAATATGTTCCACTTGAAAAGTAAAGGGATGAAACAATCTTAATTCCTATAAAACATGGGAAAGCCATTATAGAAGAAAGAGGACAGAGGGTTACCACTCCAAAGAGGCGACAGACAATGAAGAAGAAAACACCCTTATTATAGCATTATTGATAGTATTAACATACACTGGGTCCAAAGCAACGCTTGTCATTTGGTAAATATTCTGTATAATTTTTCACTATAAACACCACATTTACCTTCAACAGTCCTATCGCATGTGTCTCTTCCAAAGAAAGTCAAATCCGGGGATGTACAACAATAAAGGCACTTGAAAGTGATAACGCTGGGTTAAAGTTTTACAATTTAAGACTGCCTATGTATGTTCAAGCTTGAGTAAATATGTTCTTATCAGTTGAAAAACCCAAGTCTTTACCGACCGTTTGTATACACAACTTATCATATCTATGCATGTGATGAGAATGTTTATGTCAAGAATATGAGGCTTATCCACTTGAGTAGTAGACTTCCAGTCAATGGGTCGCAAGATACATATATATATATGTATATATATATATATATATATATATATATATACGGAAAACAACTGAGTAGACAAAAATCTAAATAGGTTACTAATCATAGAGCTCAATCATAAATATGGTTAGCTTTCATATTTTTGTCATTCAACCTTTGTAACTTTCACTGATATTATTGTTGCACACAATAAATAGTTTACAAAAACTATGTATTACTGTGCTCCATATGCAAAAGCTTTAAAATGATTTGATGAGAAGCAACACCAAGCAGTCTGATTTTACTCCTGAAAAATAGAGGAACTAGCAAACAAAACAGAAAAAAATACTGAAAAGTAACTTGACTACTCACTTGAGCATGTTTAAAAACATGCATCATTACAAAAGTCGTGATAATAGCGACAATATAAGCAATATATCCGCAGTAAAAGTAAGCACAACTATTTTTACGTCCAAGTCTATAAGAAAAAAGGAATGCATACTTGGTTTAGATTATATGAAGATAATGTCAAAGACAATACATATTTCAAATTTGATTATGAACTGACCAGCAATTAGCGAACCACTGAACCATAAATGAAAAAAGGAAAGAATCTACTGCTCACTGATGACTGACTATGCGACGAGTTTTTAGCTAGAATTGGTGACCAGTAAGATCCACCAAATATAAGGTGTAACGTTGACTAGCGGTGGGAACATGTACCATGAATGGATAGAAATTCGGATTCATGAGACATTGAAATTTTAGCCACTGGGATGGAATCTATTGTGCTCACCTCGTAACATGAAGGTTCTGGACTTCATCCTTGTTTGAGTCATGGATGCGTACTGCTAAGATGTCTCAAACTAGGAGGAAACAGCTATCCGGCGCTCCCTATTGTACAACGGTTCTCTGATTGATGTAAGTTTGTGATTCAACTTGAAGTAAATCAAATCCCTACAACCTGACACTTGAAGAAAGACAGTATTCACTAGGACGATGAAGGCTTGGAAATTTTGACTTTGGGTATGAACCAAAATATTGTGTGAGGGTTGATGATACTTTATTCAATCGGGAATGTCCAATAGTAAAATGTTTGCTCCACAACACCACCAGTGATCTGTGCATATATAGTATTCAAAAACGACAACAGAATAGAAACATGAAAAGTTGAGCATGTAATAGGTTTTTTTCTTCTTGGGGATTAATAACATTTATGACAATAATATACCGAAATGTATAACAGAAAGATATACTGAAAAACATTAGGGTTTCTTAATGGATTAGTAAAAGACAATCGGTAAATTTTATTTTTAACCAAACCATTTACTTTGTATCGAAACGAAGAAGCAAAGCAATAAATACCCCTGGGACAACTATATCACCCAGACCGAGCAAAGCCAACTGTTTTCCATAAAATCCGTGCATAAGGAAATCACGTGGGAAGATAACTGGAAGAAGAAAAAAAGTTTTAGTTTTTTAAGTGTCTTAGACGATAAATTTAAGCAGATGAACAGGGACAGAAAGTCACTACACTACCTTATATAACGTCATATCAAGCAACACACTAAATATCACAGAAGAGAGTTTAGATAGTTGTCTTATTAGTCAATTTTACCTCTCATAATAACATGAAAAACGCTCACAGCTCCTGAGAAGCAATTACTTGTACCTCTGCAGTACATAAAACTCATGATTTGAAGAGTACTGACGAAACACAAACAAAGAAACTTTAGAACTATTTTAATAAAAATCATTATAAAACCTCGCGGGAAAAAGTCTCTTATCTGTCCATTCTGGACCGTTTTTGTGGATTAAGCAGGGAGAAGCTGGGATGCGTTGGTTTAGATGATCGACTTCTAACTAATGGCTAACTGGATTGAACCCCAACCCACTCATCAGGGTTTGGAGCAGCCAGTATTTCTGTGTCACTTCGAGAATCTTCTGAGACACCAAACATCATGTTTTCTCATGTAGTATTAGAGATCTGCAAACAAATTGTCATAAAGTTGACCGAAAAATGGAATGGATCTTCCTGACATCATTCCATATCAACACCTTACGGATAACTCACCACAGATTCCAATACAAGCACGTGTTGGAATATATAGACTTAGGTAAAGGGGTGATTTGGCAGGTGTTGCTTCACTGAAATAAGGCTTCCCAATTAACGGGTATAGCCTAGAGACCAAAACATAAAGTTAGCGTCTATCACCTACAGGTACGCTTGTCTCACGACGTGAGTCCGGAATCCCCCTGATTTTGTCATGGTCTCAATCTTCAGTCAGATGTTACACGATTGCGGACCTTTTAAGATGATGTCACCCATCGCGAAGACTGCTGTAACCAATGACTAAATCCAATGAGAGAATAGTAACTGATTTCGACGCTGCAACCAAGGAATCATTGAATTCAGAATAATCCAGACTTATTGTCTCTAAATGTCTACAGATATAAGCCATCAAGGACTATTGCTTTCTTCCTTTTGAAGGTCACTTATTTAGAACATTTGATGATGGGTACTGTATCTCAACCAATCAGTAGTATATAGTCTTGTGCAGAGGAAATAAAGTTTAAGTGGTGATTAGGGAGAAAAATGAAACAAGACAAACTCGAAAGCGCCAATACAAATTTGTCTAACTATGCAGGGAAACACTTATCAACAAGGCTGAAGAAAAGAGAACTTGAGACTATCCCAAATTACACACATGAATATGTCATACAGAGTTGCCACTCAGTGAACTTAAATCAAGCAGATTTTACATCACATCTATTTTACTCAAATATCAGATTTTGTTAAAAAAAGAATCAATTTTACAACTACATGTTAACAAACTCTGGAATAACTGTCACAGTTTTGTCAAGATTCAACAGATAATTAGGCGTTGTCAGCTGGTTTGTTTGAAATCTTTTGAATGAATTTATGCTATTCACTTCACTCCATTTGCATTATTCCACGACGTTACGTGAATTATCTACTCGGTGACTCTATTTCATCTTACAGTCGTGTCACCGGACATGAACTTTACGTTGGTACTAATACTCATGCCTTAACTACTTCACCTATAAACACTTCATGTCCATCTTATTAAAAAACTGGATATTTCTAGGTTTAGGGTGAGGGTATTTTAAATGAAATACTCATCCTGTTTCCAAAATTCTATTTCTTTTCTCATTTTATATTAGTAAAAACTGAAAACGCGCACTCACACTGAGTGTCTTACAAAGGCCATTTACATTCAGTCTGCCAGAATTAAAACTACCAACAGAGAATAACTATTTGATAAAGACACTTACCTTTAATTGGAGCATCCAAATTCTTGGCAACAGCTACCATGACACCAGTTCCAAAGACCTACACGATTCGGTAAATATTAACTTCAACAAACCCAAAATATGTCGTATATGAACAATCCACAAAGTAATAAAATCCCGTTTGAAAACTTATTCAGTCTAATAAATTCAATAGCTAAAATCGCTATTGTCACTGCTACAAAATTATTTGCCACCCAATGCTGTTAAATAATATTACTAACATATCACTTACCCCAGACATGAAATACCAAATTCCGAGTAAAAGAGCTACACCTGTACCTAGGAAATCTTTTGTTTCTATTGATAACACAGAACGATCTGAAACACTAGTGGAAAAAAACAAGTGATCACTTACCTATAAGTTTCCACTCTGAATTCGAACCATTCTCTGTGCTTTCCGAGCTCTTAGAAAATTCCAGCTTGTAGCAATTATTTTGGATACAATTCGGCATGTACGGTCGAAAGATTGGCCTGCACTAGCAGTTAGTTTATACTGTACTTACGATAAAAAACGGGACATTGCACATGTACCCATAAAGGAGAAATGTAATTTCAGAACGTAGTTGATGTACTGCATTGGGACAAACTGTACAACATTGTAAGGAGGCAAATATGAACCGACCTTGAATACAACGTACATGCCGAAGAGTGCTGCACTAGCAATGAAAGGAAACATCGCTGCATCTTTTGCCGTAACAACCTCAACTGATTTCTAAATCCTTAGTGCAACAAGATAGTACCAACCTCTTTATCAGTACTCTTCTTACACCTTAATGATCGGAAAGAACCGATATAAATAGGTATAACAGCCAAAAAGAACAAAGCCGTGTTGGTGACCACTGAGTCCAAATTGAACTCTAGATTTGCTATTGTCCCATTTTCTTGAGTGGCATTTTCTAACCCAGTTGTATTCATATTCTCCCAACACGCAGAAAAATTCAAATAGTGCTCTGAAATACGTCGATGTTGAAAATGTTATTGTAACTCAGCTAAACACAAATTCTTCAATAGCATTTGATCAAAGAACTGAATAGCCTATTTTATCTTAATTATATGGTTTTTCACTCAAATCAACATCCTGCAAGTGCTTCCTGATATTGCAGCACAAAGAACATGGCGAGATGCAGTTTCTCGTAGAAGGCATGATATTGACACCTCACTAGATGCATTGCCACTGAAAATAGGAACATACCATCTCTATGAGGCCGGAAGTCCAACTGTAATGGATTTAAACTCTTCAACAGATCATTTGTTTTCCGCAGAGTGAAGAAATGAAAGCATGAAAACCCAATACTCAAGGTGGAAATCGATCTAGGTCTATGCGATTTTGGCTACCGATTGATATCAGTTAGAGAAGCACTGAGAACCAGGGAGTACTGGACAGCTTTTTCATCCTATTTTAGGAATCATCAGGCATTGAATCAGGACCCCGCGGTTGGACGGTACGTGAGATTACCTTGTAATCGGACGTTCCTAGGTTCGAACCCCAGTGGGTGCGCACTGCTTATGATTCCCAAACTAGGATGGAACAGCTGTCGAGTAATCCCTGGTAGTTTTCAATGGTTCTCTAACTGACATCAATCCATGGGCAAACTCGTATCAACGAATCTAATCCTTACAAACTAACTCTTAAAGATCTAGGTCTAGTGAAGCCAATGGTAGACAGATTGCTTCTTACGATATTAGCAGGCACAAGTATCTGTAGCCTGTATAGAACTGGCAAAACTGCTGACCCTGCTATAAGGCAGTCGGTTTGCACACTCAGCGTTACAATAAATTTAAAGAATTGAAGGAGATTCAATCCTAATAGTGTTCCAAATGACGATTTTGTGCTGTTCCTGTTAAAAGTTAAAAATATGACAAATTGTCTATATCCTGCGTTTTTTTCAAAATTCTTCTTAAACTGTAACTTTTTCGTGGAGAAGCATATACACATATATATTCATATACATATATGTATTTATTCAAGTTTAATCTTCTCTCTATATGCCACACTAGGTATTTGGTTATAAACTCTGTGAATTCCAGGAAACTTTCATTGTTTACGCACCGTTCTAATAATTCAGACATTTTTCCAGTATTTCGTGTCATTGCTGAGTTTAGTGGCTAGACACTGACGTGTTTAGCGTCGGTAACACTCACAAGGAATTAGTTATCTACGCCCATGCTTACTCTATCCAAATACAGTTTACTGGACCTGAATGAACTCAACAACTCTGCTTCGAGAAGAAAAACTGTGTTTGTAAGAGATTTTAAGAAATGAGATTTAGTAGTTTGCTGTTCCCATGGCGCCATGAGTAAAACGTGGGAGCGTTGAACTGAAATGACATCTTGGCACATTATTACATGCAGTCTGTTGAACAAGGGAACCGATTTGGTCAATAATAATCCGCTTTACTCTAAAAACGGTATTCATCATAGTGCGCCGAATTTTCAGCATTTTGCATCTAATTTACTCAAGATCAACGAAATTAACCACAGGAACGTCTCCAAATTTACAGTAGGAATAATGCTAAAAACGTGTGAAGTACGAGTAAAAAAAGAAGTGTAACTATAATAACTCTACATAAGTTTGTTTATTAGATGTGTCACACAGTGAAACAGTATTATTTACTGGATGACGTTTCGAACAAAATTTATTGTTCATAATCAAATCAATTGTAATCACACGACTTCGAAACCCGACTTTTATACCAAGACTATCAAACTCAAGTTTCGAAGTCATGTGATTATAATTGACTTGATTATGAACAGTAAATTTTGTTCGAAACGTCATCCAGTAAATAAAACTGTTTCACTGTGTGACACATCTAATAAACAAACTTATATGGAATTACTACCACAGTGCCCAAGTTCTACACATATATTAGTAATAATAATATATATTTCGTATAAACGGGTTAGTTTAAATGAAATGCATGCCATTTTTACAGGCACGATCAATTATCTTACGAATTACACTTGTGAATTAGCATTCATTATCATCTTTTTAAAAAGTTCAAATTGTTGAATTATAGTACAAGCAATCGGAACAGATTCTTATAATTGTTAATTTGTAAATCTTTCACGAAGGTCTCCATCGAAGTTGAGCGACAACCCATACTTCGTTCCATTTCCTGATGATAGTAATGGCCCATCGATAAACTACATATATTTGAGTGAGTACTGCGACCCCACGTGCTTGAGCGCTATTGCAGGAAGGGGAGAAGATCCTGCACAGCTACAAAGTTGTATAAAATGCAATCATGAATAATACATTATTGGAAGTATATTTACAAGAAAAATACAAGAATAAGCTATACAATACTTAATATGATAATGCACATTTGCAATGTATGATGCTAACCATATTGGTCTTACCATGGAAAACTATGACGTTTTCCATGAAAATATAGTTATTCTCAAACATGATTGTTGTTATGTTTTTTTATCATCAGGGCAACCGAACTTTACGCGAGAAAACGGGTGTAAATGAGAAAAAGGAAAAAAGTAAATTTCAGCTTTATTAAAGTCCTAGGAAGTTGAGATAAAATAGAGTATAATAGTAATTAAGTAGAAGGATTATAGTGAAGTATATAGGTGACATTTCAGAGAGAAGTGGCTTGAAGGATTAGAACCTGTTGGACATGGTGACCTGTCGGACGTCTGACGAACTTTTGTATGGCCCATGGGACAGCATCTTGACAAGAAACTGAGCAGTCTTGTAGATGTTAGGAGCGAAAGCATTTTTTTATAAGCTAAAACTGTACAGTCATTATTGTTTTAGTTTTTTAAATTTTTTTTAAAGTCTAATTTTTTTATGCATTCAGTATCTAAACTCATGTTTAATTCTCGAGCTGCCAAAATAATGCATATTGCTGTTCTACAGATCGGAGCGATTCATATTTGTGACCACTACCAAATCTGCTGATCAGCATGCACCACCCTCCCTCCTTTTTGACATTAAGCTCTGAGACCTTTAACAGTGACTGCAGTTGTAATATTGGATTGCTTTGACTCCATCACAATCATACAGTATGCTGCACATTAACAACTTTCATGACAAGTGCTTCCCACTAGGTCACATGGCACAATAATACCAGAGGACATTGTTAGCAGTATTATCATCATACTAGTGAACAAGTGGATTACTACAAAAGGCTAAGAAATTAGGTTTTCTTTAAGAGTTATGAAGTATAAAAATAGCTAATATTAGAACAACTAAGTTATATTCTATTTATCAGAGTGATATGAGTAGTGGAACAATTAGTGATAAAGTTATGTAAAGTGGTCCTGAGTAAGGCAACTGGTCAGCAGAACTAGTTATGCTAAATTTTCACGACCGATTTTATATGATGTGCGTTACACATTGCAAAGTGACTCATCAATTATATAATGGAAAAATACTACATAATTTCAACATTATGAATTTTTTAGAAAATTATATGAAAATGGGTAACTGTTGACTGAAGATAGGCGTTTCAACTCAAAAATAGTACTAATAATATAAGCATATATGTAAAATATTAAAAGATATGGTTGCTAATGTAATTGTTTATGGAAATGATTATACTGACGAAGTTATTGAAGATTACAGTGAAGAGAAAATCAGTGAGTTAGTTAAACGGTTACTGCGCAGTTAGTAGTTAAAACATCTTTAAAAGTAAAAGGTAGAAGAGTTTTCAGCACTAAGGCAAATTAAGTCATAATCTACGGAGTAGAGTGTAGTGGATAATGGTACGATTAAGGATAAGATTAGGTTGAATGAGCTTGGGGAAAATGGTTGGTTGGCTGAGTTTGTTATTGCTAGGTTCTCCTGGCCACTTTTCATATGGCATGCTTTAGACATTACAAAGTACCAGTTTGCTTATATTATGGAAGAACTATCACAACTAATTTGGGATTATACGTCCAGGATAATTACAGATAGTCCTATGAGTTTATAAACCCGATTGATGAAATATTGATAAGATCTCTAATAAGCTGAATAACCGAACCTTAGATCAAGGCATGTGGGGGAAATTGGGTTGGTTTTATCACGTTTTAGGTGCGGTACGGTAGCTGGGGCAAATGAGTTTCCTCAAATTGGGGGTATTGCACTGGGGTCTGTAGCACCAAAGTTAGATGAACAGCCCATATGGGTAAAGTATGGATAAGTAGACTGAAGCTCTTTTGTTGACAAGAACTCGTTAAGGAGACGCTGGAATTCAGTAGAAGATCGGCAACTACGTAAAGTAAGTGGAAGTTCGTTCCATAATACACTGTACTGTATTTTAAAGAAACGTGATCGCAGTTTTGTCCGGTACCGGCTTGTGGATAGAGTATTTTCATGATTTCTAAGAGTATATATGGTTAAATTATTGAAAGCTATTGGATTACTGCTTTTGAGGTAGCCGTGTAAAAGGCGAAAAAGGAATGTAAGGTTGAGTTTCAGGCACCTTAACCAAAGTGGCTGAAGTCCATATATTTTGCACCTATCCACGTAAGTCAGTCCTTCATGTTTGTGTAACAGGCGTTGTGTAAAACTTTGCTGGATATTTTCAATACGAACCCTGTCATACCCACTCATGAAACCGAAGACAATTGTGCAGTATTAGTATAACTACAGTAACAGTGACAGTGATAATAACAGTGGGTTTGTTTCAAACAGCATTGTTGACATAGTTTGGAAATCTTAACATGTTATAGAATATTGAATCTGATGTTATCTGAAGTAGAATAGTGATGGCCAGCGGGACACCTGTTGCCCTACTGACAGTCTTCAGAGTTCTACAAAGTACCACACAGTCTTTTTTAGCAACCGAGGGAAGAATACGGGTGAACAATAAAGAATAGGTAATATGCAAGAGTTGACAAACCACAAGATGAGGGTTTGAGTTATCGTTGAGTGCCTGGACTTCTCAATGTAAACTGTCAGGCAGGATTTCCGCTACATATCGGAAGACCAGGATAAATGGTAAGAAAGAATAAGTCGCAAATATTAAACTTCAGACTTGATTTCTGCATCAGT